AAAATAAATACAGTGATATTTAGAATTATTGCAATAATTTTTTCTAGTTTTTTAGAACTAATGAAAATTTATTAAAAAATTAAAAAAGCAAAATAAAAACCTAGGGCATGCTAAGCTCACTAGCTTTAGGAGAAATTATGACTGAAGGAATCACGATGCGATAAGGGGAAGAGGAGACCATGTGAGGAACTCGCTCAATATAGATCACGATGGAATCGATGGTGTGTGAATGAAGGAGAAGATGTCTTTAAAGAAGCTCGCTTAGGGCAAGTCATGAGGGGATCTAATGGGGGACATCAGAGCGTGGAAAGTCTATCAGAGACTTGGCCGTCGACCTATTACCACGATTAAGTTGATGTATTTCTGAGTTGTATTATTTATTTTCTTTAGTATTATGTCATGTTGTATTTGTTTTATTAGTATTTCCATTTTTACCGCTTAAGGGAGGTCGTTTGTAAGCCCGGTGGGCGTTGTCGTCTTTTTATTTTCTTGAGTCCTTATATGAGGCTATATATAGCCCCATTATTCTCTTTTCATGTTAATGATTGAATGATAAAAAATTTTCACATGTTTTGAGTTCTTATGAGAGCTTGAGAAATAGGAGTGAGATCCCTAAGAGAGGGAGGATTGTGCATCACCCACCAACCTAGACGAATCGGGTTCATGGTTTTACTTTATATCTCTTTTCCTTCCTCCCACCACCACCGCCGGCCCTACTTCCCTTTCCCCACCCACGGTCAAGCCTCCACCCTCACCGAACCCCTCTTCCCTTCACTCCGCCGAAAACCCCCACCAAGACCTACCATGCCGCCGAACCTATTCCGTCCCCCTCGTCTCTTCCATCATTACTTACATTGATTCCTTTCCTAATTGGGTTGAGTTATTTAGGTAACTCAAAACTTGTCAAAATTCAAATTTATTTGAATTTGAAAAGTTACCTAAAATATCATTCCTATTTTAGGAAACTTTCCAAATCCTTGCCTATTGAATTTAAATTAAATTAGGATGAAATATCTCATCCTAAATTTAAGTCCCTAATTTAAGGAAACAATAAAAGCTTCCTTAATCCCTCTCCCTAGCTCTTAATGCCGCCGGCCTCTATAGAGGAAAATTAGGAATTGTTTCCTAAAACCCAAATCCCCACTTCGGAAACAATTCAAATTTCCCCCTCCTCCCTTTGGTCGAATCCTCCCCTAGCCCCACCTATATAATTTATTTCCAATAAGGGAACTCCTCCAATTGGAAGTAAATCAACCTCACCCCTTCCCTCTTGTTGTCGCCCCCCTCTCCCTTTCTCTCTTCCTTTAATTATTTTCAATTAATAGGATAATTAGGAAGTGTTGAATTAGAACTCCCTCCATCTCCTCTCCCAAAATCTGAACCAAATCTCTTACCCTTGCTCTCATCATTGGTCGGCCACCTTTTTTCCCTTTCCCCTATTGATTTCTCTAGATTATCTCCTCCATCTCAAGAGGAGTCTTCAAAGGAAGCATCGACGATCGTCTTCGACATCTCAACCTCCAAAGGCCATGCATGGACGATCCAGATCTTGATTACGATCTCGCCTACGACGAACAAAGGTTTGTTTGCATCCTTCACTCGACCTTTTTCTACGTCATTCCGCACATCGTCAACATCGTCGAAGAGTACGTAGAGCACATTCTGAACACCCTTGTCGAGGCCATAAAAGAACTTGGCACCATTCAGTGGAGGATTGCAACTCAACCGTGATAAGGGTTTACCAATCTTCCTTCTCTCGTATTTTTCATTGTCTAACTTGTTCTTGTGATTTGATAGATTCATGAAGATCTTGCTCATCTATTTTTGTCAAGCCTAGTAAACGTAGGACTTAAGTTTGATCTCTATGTTTCTAATCTCATTGTTAGCAATAGGAATTTTGTTTGAAAGCTACTTAATCTGTATTTTATTGATATTCTATGTTATTATGATTAGTCAAGCTTCTGGTAAGTAGTTTAGCCTAAGCATAGACATCCCTTTCTTGTTTTACTTTGTCATTTTAAATTGCTAATTGTTTTAATCATATTCGCTTTTATCAAGAAATCGTGCAAATTCTTATTGCATTCATTAAACACATCTTAGTCCTACATCATCTGGTATCAGAGCATGGTTTGCTCTAATTGCATGTACTAGGATCCATTGTAGATTGTTCTTTATCATCTTTTTTTTTTGTTTTGCTTGTTGTTTCACTATTGCATCTAGTCTTTTAGACCTCTTATAGTTTACTGTCCTTTACATTTCTGCACTCATTTTGCAAGTCATAAGTGTATTTTAATCATATCATTTGCTGTCCTTTGCATCCTAGTCACTGTAGGAGAAGAGGAGATACTTGGGGAGCTTACTTGGGGCAGTTCACAATGGGATCGAAGACATTTGAAGGAAAAGAGGTCTTGATAGGAGCTTATTTGGTGCAAATGTGGGAGTGGGGATCAAGTTGTGTGGAAGAATTGGGCGAATTCAGAATACACATAAAATAACCTTATTGGTTATTACAAACTCCTTAAAATTTTACTTTGAATTTATTTTACTCAAAATCAAACACTTGAATATTAAATTCCTTTTTCTTTACACTCAAATATATTCACAATCAAGGGAACCCTAAAATTTCCCAAGGGACATGATTTTTAGGTTTTTCAAATGGGGATTCGGTTATGTACCAATAGGGCTGAGAGACTTGTCATTGTGCGTTAACTTTCTTTATTTCATATGTGTCAATGTGTGCATTTAGTATATATGTGTGTGTATCAAGAGAAAGAGAGATGGCCTTTGGCAAGTCAAGTAGTATGCAATATTCACTAAAGTTTTTTTATTTTAAGGCCCTATCATTGGTTTCCATACTCTTACAACTAAATATTTCCAAGAGATGAGATAATTAGGCTGTGACATTTTTTTATCATAGTAGTTGTTTTCATTGTTTGGTTAATTACTATATGGATATCTGAAGTTTAATTGGAATGTTGTGGGGTCCCATAAGAGGGAGCCTTAAGAGCAAATTTTATGCTGGTTGGATTGAGCTTGATTATTAACAAATAGTAAACTGTGCTCTATTCCCTCTTTTTTTATTTTCATGATCATTAATGGGAAGGGCGCTTCAAAGGAAAAACACAGGTGAGAGGGAACATATGTTTATCTGTACTCCTAACATCCAAAGATAGAGAGAGTTCTTACAAGGTAGCTATAACTTAAAAGGAGATTATACTGATATTGTCTTCAATTAGGTTTAAGGAGAAGCTACATAAGTATTGATTTTATGCCCAATGGTAGAGAGACAATTGTTAGTTGACATTTCACTATTAACATTAACTCCTGGTGATAATAATCAATTCAATCAGTTAAATACTTTTAAGAAAGTGAAAATAAACACTAGAAGAAACAAGGAATTTTAGATTAATCATGTGCCAACAAAGCGTTGAAAGCAATTTTTACTTTAGATTGTCCACAAACTCTTTTGGCCTTCTTGATGAGCCTTTGATTGGATTATCAAGATGTTTGATCGAAGGCATCAAGGTTGTATTGTAGAAAATTCCCTCGATGAGTGATTCTATTTCTCTTTGTATTTAAAACTCGGCGATGTAACCGAAATTGAAATCTTCTTTATTATATGCCTTCCATGTGGGTTCCAACCTTGAATATTCTCCACACTGCCTCTTAGCTTGTCCTCATGCGTTGCTGTCATTGCCCAGCCCCACCATCAGCTTGTTACCGTCACTCATTGCATGTCTACATCTCACCATCTTGTGCCATCATCAACAACACCTCATCATTACATGTCACCACTATCAGCATCTCACCGTGTAGTTGTCTCTCTGCTTGTCCTTGTGTGTTGTGAGCATCTTACCATCAACTATATTCACCGCTGTTCATTAGTATTCACCTTCTTTAATGTTTGGTATGCCCTCCATTCTTTCTTTCATTGCCATTTTTTTATAGGGAAAATCCAGCCTTTAGTCTTGTTGGACAGACACTTGTAATTACTAGTTGATTCTCCTGTTATTTAAACACTAATTTTAAAGTATAATGTTTAAAGAGTTTCAGTTCAAAAATTGATGGTAGCCGTTGTTCGTGAAGAAATAAATTATATTATGATGAAACAAGAGCATTTTATGTACAGATTAAAGAGAATGTGCTTATGATGCTTCAATGCAAAATTATATCCATCCATGTTCGTTATGTAATACATTGCAGCTGCATCTTGTTGTATATCACCGAGGTATTTTAATGAGGTTAAGGACATTAAATATTTTATACAATCAATATATCATTTATTTTAATGAGGTTAAGGACAATAAATATTTCACGGTCTTCATAATTTAGTTCATTGTTATTGGTAAAACTTGAATCCCACACGACGTGCATCCATTTTGATTGAAAGTAGCATGAAATGATTTGATCTTCAAAACTAAATGCTGAGTACAAAAGGGTGATGCAATATCTAGAAAAAACTGCAGCTTGTTCCAAAAAAAAAATTTCACATAAAATTCAATCCTAATGGATTTGAATATTACTGGTTCTTAATGTCAATGCAAGGAGAAATTATTACGTGCGGAATCCGGTTATGTCCGGACTTCAATGAAAATGTGACACGTGTTCTTGTACACAATGTAGTTGTACACACTATATACATTACAAAATTTTGTACATAGTGTGTACAAACTTATATAAATAATATACACATTGTGTACACAGTACAAAGTTATACACACTGTGTACAAATTTATACAAATCGTGTACAATGACACATATCATGTTTTTATTGGAGTCCAGACGTAACTCTACGTCCTTACTCCGCACGTAATAATTTCTCCAACGCCAGCAATTGTTTACTGTAGATACCTGTGAAATGTCCCTACATTCGAAGTGCGGCCTTAAGCAATCACATCCTTTTCCATCATGTCTTGCATATTCATTAATACGTGCCGAGATATCCGCCAGAGTAACAATAGCCATTAAATATGCCATTTGTATTGCTGGTCCCATGGCAGGTAGCATACACTTTCGATGCAGGGCCTAATGCTGTTCTGATCGCACCGAATCGTAAAGTTGCTTCCAGTCTTCTTCAAAGACTTCTGTTCTACTTCCCGCCAGGTCCAGATAATGAATTAAACAGGTCAGTTTCTGTTTAATCATTTATTTTCTCAATGAACTCGCAATGATTATTTGTCTTCTGCTTGATTCCTTTTTTTTTTTTTGGATTGCATGACATTGTTTCTTACAGCTACATCTTAGGCGACAAAACAATATTACAAGAAGCTGGAATTGAATCCCTGAACCATATTGAAGCCTTGAAACCACCTCCTGAAGCTAAGGATAAGGTCCCATCTCAAAGATTTGCAGGTGATGTTAGTTATTTTATCTGCACTAGATCTGGAAAAGGTCCAGAAGTACTCATGGAGGAAGAGCATGCTCTTATTAGCTCCCAAACTGGCCTTCCAAAGTGAGTAACATGAGAAAGGTGCTATTTCTTCCCGTGAAAGTTCTACTTTTTATTTCTTAGGCTTCCTTTGGGACAGCTTATTTACTCTGCTTCTTAAAACGGTTTTTTTTATAAAAATTTTAATTTTTGTACTGAAAAGCTATTTTAGGAAGCAGCAAAAAAACCATTCCAAACGAAACCTTAATCATTAAGAGTAATAAGTTTTGATACGTTCCAGTTGACCTGCAGGATTCCAATCTGATTTGTCTCATTTGTTGCTGTTTTGTTTTCCTCTGCATTTCATTTTCAGCCTTTGGTTTTAAATAAGTTGTATTCCAGATAGAACAATATGTATTTTTATTATTTTAGTAACTTTGTTATAGGTTGCTTCTTATTATACATATTGACCTGTTATATTTCTGACATATTATTCTGTAGAATTCTAACAAAAAACTAAAAAAAAAATCATTATGATCATTAGTTTCACCATAATTATTTGGATTGAATTTTATTAATTGTTATTTCTTATAGATTTCTGATGTTTATTGCTCTAAAGTGTTAAAATTATTCTCTTTTTCGCAACACTAATACTATTTATTTAATAGATGTATTGTCTAACCTTCTGTTTGTTATTAAAATGATTTAAATTTTTTTCTTATTCTATTTTTTGGTATAATTATTTTAAAATTTATTCATCTTAGTTGTCTTTTATTTATTTTCATATTCTTAAATTTATATCAATAATTTTTTTATTATCAATATTTGTATTATTGTCATGATTATTTGCTATGTTTTATGCTCTCCGTTGACTACCTAACGTGACACTCTACTTTTTTTATTCAGGGCTTAGGACCTGGAATGGGCTTAGGACCTGGAATGACAGTGTTTAAAGACAAAGGCGATTTGATCAAATATTTTTCTATTTTAGTTTGGATTAAATCAAGGATCAACTTTAAGCTCATATCATTTTTGTTTGTGTTATAAATGTTCTTACTAAACGTTTGCAAGATGATGTATCATAGTGTATGTGTTTTGCTAGCGATATTCTTTATTGTTATAAAAGACTAGAGGAGTTGAAAAAAAAAATTGAATAATGAAAGTCAAACTTATAGTTTAAGGATTTTCGTTTGCAGAGATCTAAAATAGAATACATGGTGTGTAATTTTAATGGTAATGAATCTAGTGGGGCATTGTGACTTTAGGTGATCTAGTCATTAAAAAGAGTACACATTTTAGATCTCCTGTCTATTATTCAAAATGATAGTGAAATAGATTCAGATATTATTAGTAGAATTTATGTTGAATGGTTGAAATAGAGGAATGCATCAGACTTATTGTGTGGCGTAATATGACCTAATTGAAAGATTAAATGCCTAAACTTACATTTTAACTCATCCACAAACTAGAATAAATTACCGTTGACTATCGAATTCAAAATAATAATAATATTAATATAAACATCATTTTCATGTCTTCAAAATTCATATATAATAATCTAGTTTCACAAAATTTGTACATTAAAAAAAAAAAGTTTAAAATTAGATTACAAAATAATTCAATAGTTGACTCAAATGATCTGATCCTTATTTATCTCTACTCCGTTGGGCCTTTCCTTTTTTTTGAAATAATAACAAGTATTTCTTTCACAAGCCCATCAATGATATTAATAGCCAATTAAAATATTGATATTAATATCCAATTTAGAGTTATCACAACCAACTCATATCTTTTATATTTCATTTATTAAGTTAAAAGAATATGTAATATATGAGGGTAATATATATGTCATAATGTTTGTTTGTAATTTCACTTTTACTTAACTCATTTTAACCCCCAACAATTATTTGCTACAAATGTGGTTGTAATAGAACACAATAACCTTTCACACCTGTATTCAGCGAGATGGGTTAAAATATCTCTAACATCAACACTTGATAGATGAGGCCAGAACAGAATATATAAGACTTTTGTATCATTTTAGGCAGTACACTTATCACATTTTAGAGAAATTAGTTTTCAAAATAGTTCAATAGTTGACTTAAATGATCTTATCCTTATTTATCTCTAATCTGTTAGGTCTTTTCTTTTTTCAGAAATATTAGAAAGTTTCACAGGATGAGCACAATCAGCTCAATAGATTTCTTTCGCAAGCCCATCATTGATATTAATATCCAATTAAAATATTGATAGCAATCTATTTAAAATATTCAATAATTCAGTAAAGTGTAAACAAAATATTAATATGACATGATTCGTTAGAATTATTAAAGTGTACTTGATTTTAGAGTCATCACTTGTACTTTTATAGAACACTTTCACAAAAATATCAGAGGTGTCAAAGGACAATAGCTATCAGAGTTTCATTTACATTTGACTTTCTCATTCATCAGAACTCATATATAAAAATTTAGAGTTTATCGGAACCAACATAGAATATCTTTTATATTTAATTTATTAAGTTAAAAGAATATGCAATATATAAGGATAATATATATGACTTGATGTTTGGTTGTAATTTCACTTTTACTTATTACTCCTTTTAACCTCCCACACTTGTTTAAAAACTATCATTTTGATTTGGCATTGGAGCCACCCAACGCCGCAGCACTCCCTTAATTCCTTCTCCCAACAAGAAGAAAATGTTGCGGCGCCGCTCTGTGGCGAAGCTACGAATTTTTTTTTCATGTGGGGATACAAATTATATATCTTAAAAATAATCTCAACCTTTTTCGTATGGGATTGAGGCCGGCATTGGTGGCTCCAAAAATTTTATTGTTAGACTTGTCTTCACAAGAAAGATAAATTGTATCATAAACAAAATTTTATAATTAATAGCATATGATATTTATATTCTTCTTAGATGTTACATACAGTTTATCCTTCTGAATCTTCATATTTTGAAATTATTGTACAATGCATTAGTTATCAATAATATTAAAAAAATATATCTTTTAATAAAAGTAAGCAAACAATCAATCATTCAAGAGTTTCTCATACGATTGCACAAATAATTCTTTGCAATCTTTATAATGAAGAATACTCGTATGATGATTTTTATAAGAATTGACAATATCATAGCAAGCTTTATAAGTAAGAACATCAAATGATAAATATCACTTTTCTACGTCTCGATTAATTTTTGTGCAATTTCTCTAATTCCTCTTAAATTTTTTAATGCATCACTGGATCTCATATCTATGATAAAAGTCTCAAATTAGTCATTTAATATAATGAGATATATAAATGAAAAATCTAACGGATAAAAATTTACTAGGCATATCATTCTTTGTTTGTCAAATATAGAATATAAGTCACATGGATTCAAGCATACTAAATAGGGTAAACTTTTAAAGTAAGCATTATTCGGAATGAAATTAGCTAATTAAACATGTTAAAAAAATTAAAATTAGACATAATCGCCTGTTCAACGGGCGATTAGGCATGGACGACCAAGTCGCCCATCCAATGGGCAACTTATGTTTTTTTTTTTTTTTATCAGATTGAAGATATATGTTCTTCATTTCATAATTATATAGTAAATAGTAGATCATGCATGTTTTTTTTTAAAATAAAAATTAGGAACAATTCAATTTATGTTTGGCTTATTTAAAAAAAAAAACCGTTTCAATTTATATTATGAGTGTTTAGTAGTTGGGAGTGATCTTAATATGTCAGAAATACTATATTCATATAGGATTAATGCAATTCTTTGAATGTAGTGAGTAGTCTCAATATATAAGTTGTAAAGTGGTATTGTCTCAATAATATTGTCAAATAAGGGTTTCAAGCTTGTATTGTCAAATCAGTTTTGTAGTCTTGCATTGTCAAATCAATTTTACGAGCTTATATTATCATATCAGTTCTGTAGGGTTTTATTGTCATGTCATTATGGGAGAAAAAATTTATGTATTATCAATCAACAATTATTTATTTTTTGTAATTACTTTAGTCATTGAATCCCTCTTTCTGAAATTTATTCAAAGCATTAGATCCTTCTAATTTTGTCTCGTTATTTGTTGATATGACATCTCCTACAGCAACACATCATATCATATGACTAGTAAAATTGATTTGACAAATATGATATGATGTGTTACTACAAGAGAAGTTCTATCAACGAATAATGAAACAAATTTAGAAGGATTCAATGCTCTGAATAAATTTCAGAAAGAGAAATTCAATGACCAAATTAGTTACAAACAATAAATAACTGCTGATTGATAATGCATAAATTTTTAAACTCCCACAATTACATGGAAGTACAACCCTGCAGAATTGATTTGACAATAAAATATTGAAAAATTGATTTGATAATACAAGCTAGGAAAACAAATTTGACAATACAAGCCAGTAAAATTGATTTGACAATATAAGCCTACAAAATCCATTTAATAATAAAAGCATGAAACATTGATTTGACAATATTATTGAGACAATATCACTTTACAACTTATATATTAAAACTACTTACTACATTCTTAGAATTGTACTAATCCTATATAAATAAAGAAATTTGACAGATTTAAAATCACACCCAACCACTAACCATTCATAATATAAATTGAAGCAATTTTTTTTTTAAAAGTCTAACATAAATTGAATTATGACTAATTTAATTTTTTTTTAAATATGCATAATCTACTATTTACTATAAAATTACAAAATGAGAAACATATATCTTCAATCTAATTTTTTTAATAAAAAAAATATATACAAGTCAGGTGGTCATTACCTAATCGCTGGTTGCCCGTTGAATGTGCGATTATGCCTAATTTTAATTTTTTTTTTAAAAAAAACATGATAAATCAGCTATTTGCATTCCTAATGATGCTTAATTTAAAAGTTTGCCCTAAGAATAACGTCGTCAACTTGGGCAGGAAATATGAATCATTAGCGATGTAGTTATGTATTAGTTTTTTTTATATACAAATAAAAATACTATAATTGAACATTAAAAAATGACCATAACATTAAGTGTTGTAGAGATGATGATGCTTATGTGAATGAGGGGCTTTAATCTTAGAGATAAAATGCGAAGCACATATATACAAGAAAAGGCTAGAGTAGCTATAGTGACAGATAAGATTAGAGAGCGTTGTCTTAGATGAATTGGTCACATAAAATATTAGCCTTCCGATAACGTAGTTAGGAGAGCAGATGTATTAGATCTGACATATGTTAAAAAAGATAGATGTAGGCCTAAAAAGATTTAGTTAAAAATTTTCATAAATATCTTTTTTATTAGAATTAAATGAAAATTATATTCTTAGTTGGGTGCAATGGAGGAAAAAATATTCATATAGTCGACTCAACCTAGTGAAATAAAAGCTTGATGACATTGTTGTTGTTGTATCAATATTTGTATCCTCATATAACATATATTGTTTAGTTGTAGATAAAAATTTTTATTTTTAATTTTAATTTCTATTATATGTTTTTATCATATACTTTTTTGAATTTTTTTCCTTATTTGAATAAATATTCCTCTTATATTTTTATTTAGTTAAATATCTCTAAGAATAATTTTGGATCAAATACCCCAAATGAGAGAGAACACTAAATTCATGGATAAGTTTGACATTGACCATCAACAAATAGGCAATGTTGGCATCATTGGGGGTAGGTTATTCATGTAAGATGATGAAGGTGGAACATATATGCTCTCATTTAGGGCTGCAAACGAACCGAGCCGAGCCGAGTATGTGAGTGTTCATGTTTGTATTCATTTAATATCAGCTTGTTCAAGTTTGGTTCATGTTTGTTCGAGCTTTATTGTTTTTGTTCATGTTTGGCTCATTTAAATTAATGGGTGTTCATATTCGGTTCATGTTCAGTTCATGTTCGTTCGTTTAGTGCTTATCGTGCTTGTTCGCGAACATATTTAACGAATTTTTTTTAACTATCAAACAAACACGTTCATGAACATATCTATGAACAAACACATTTATAATAAAAGCAATTGTCTATGTAACAAAGGCAATGATTATTTATATTTATTAATTCTATAGTCAAATAATAATTATTTTTATTGAGCTTATTCACGAGTTCAAAATCGAACACGAATCGAGCTTCATATCAAGCTTAATGTCGAGCTTGTTCATGTTCACGAACATAAATGAGCCGAACGCATTAGTGTTCAAGTTTGTTTATTTAAGAATCGAGTATTTAAAATATTGTTCAAGTTTGTTTGTTTAGTTAATTAAACGATCACAAACGAGCTTTAATCGAACCGAACAACAAGTAGCTCGTCGAACATTTGGTTCGCTTGCAGCCCTACTCTCGTTGGAGATGGAAACATCCATCCATGTTATTGGAGATGGGAGTAAGAATGATGGAGGTGGAGTTTGAATGTAGATGTTCATGTGTGGTTTGAATAACTTAGATGGTCATTTTGCTTGCAATTTGAACCATAGTTTGGAGTGCAATTCTATGAACTTATATCTTATGTGCAATTCAAATTAGGTTGAAATCATGTTAGAACGAGGCTCAAATAATATATGAACGAAACATTGAAATTTGCAGGGTTTGACTGGCATAACAATGTCGATCAAGTTTTTCTTTGAGATTCTGTTGATCTTTGTCTTCTAGATTATGTATGAATTAAATTCTTCTTTGTATAACTCATCATTGTTGATGACAGTGTTGCGTATCTGTAAATGACTGGAATCAAACATACGACTCTAAAGAGTTACCCATGAATATGGAGACTTATCTCTCATTTGGGGTATTTTGATCAAAACAAAAATTTTGAGGGTTTGATAGAAAATATAAAAGTATATTAATCAAATAAGTATATAATGAGAGATAAAAACTCAAATTTTCAAAAAAAGTTTGTTAATAAATAAACTAAATATTAAAAAACTCTGAATAGAGAGTATGTGCTATTCCACCCTCCCTTTTTAAAGTTTTTATCAATTAAGTTAGCTCACTCATGAGAAGAATAAATTTTACTAAGAATTTATGTTTTTTTCTCTTTGAAGACAATTTTAATTAGGTGTCAATTAATTTAACTTATAAATATTTCAAAGAATTTTTATTAAGATTTAATTATTCTTATATTGAATTTATATTTAAAAACTCAAAATAAAAAAAGAACTTCAAATTGCATTATGAGCTTAAGCAACTTAACTTTATTTTAACAAAACAAGCTACTCACTTTGGCCTGTTTGTTGAGAATTTTGACTACCAATTAAGAGATATTATGATCAACTTTTGCATATATGATATGTGTGTTAGTTTATTTTAATTGACTTAAATGTCTTTAAAAAATGTTAAAAAAATTAATTTCTAAGTGAAATCGGACCCTCATCGAAATAAGTTGAAAAATGAATATTTTAATAATCATTTTTTGAAGAATTATTTTCCACTTAAGATATTAAAAATAAGTAACTCTAGAAAAAATGAAAGGCACTAAACTTATCCCAATCATTTGATGGAGAACATATTCATCCAACAAATAAATGAATGCCATTATTATCCCTTTGCCATTGGATTATATCAAGATTTGTGAAAACATCATCAAATATATTAGATAAAACATATATTTCAAAGCTATCAACATAGATCAAAAGGTAAGATGCATGTATTTCTATATTATCACCAAGGCTATGATGGTCCAACATAAATTTTCGGAGAAATGCGATGTATTTTTCACCGTTCAATCGCTCGAAATATCAAAATTCTCTCAAATAAAAAACATCTTAGAACATTGTAGATATTGATGATGATGTTACCCAATCATCCACCATATTCATTGAGGCATTAAAACAAACACTTACCCTAAGTACTATAAATGTTGCCTAAGGTATTAGGTATAAAGATCTATTTTCTCCACTTTCTAGTCTTGACAAAGCTTTGTTTAAGCTGCTTTCTAAAAAAAAAGCTACTTCCAAAGATGATATCTTTTAAGAAAGTAACATGATAACATTATGGAATGCTCAATAAACAAAACACTAGATAGACATTAGTAGAAATTCATCTCTTAGGTGTTTTTGTTGTATAAGATCATCTTCAACTGAACTACAACCACACGTATGTCATCCGCCAATTGCTTCACCCGAACACCAAACACAACTCTATATTCCCGCTGTGAATAGTATGATGTCAATATTGGAGTTGCACTGTTTGTCAACGCTAGTTTGTTGTTAAAAAATGAAATTCAGTTGGAGAAAGAATATACACAGAATATTCTTTTGTATTGCTAAAAAATAAAATTCGATCGAAGATGAGTTACTGCAATTTATATATTGCTATATTTTTCGGTTGAAGATGACCTTATAATATGTATTTTCTCAATCTACTGATGAGCAATGAGATAATAACATAATTCAACTATATTTCCTTTTTATTATATGTAAAATTCCTCGGTTTAAAAAAATTAACATTTTTAATGCATTTGATAAATCATAGTGTACACAGTATATATATTGCCATTTAAATAATTGAGAAAATATTATTACTTTACTAGAGAAATGAATCAAGACTAAAGATTGAAAGAGAGAAATTAAGTCTTCATGATTTTATAATAGATTTAGGCTTCATTTGGAATGATTTTCTTACTACTATTTAATGCAATTTAAAAAAATAATTTTAAAAGCAGTAAGAAAGTTGTCCAAAACAAAATCTTAATCTATACAAAAAATTAGTTTGTTGAACCACTCAAGCAAAGAAGGTCGATATCACTTCATATCATTAAAGTCCTAAATAAACATGACTACAAGTAATTAACAAAGAAATTTTAAGGAGAAACCTATGTTAAAGATGATATCATTTCATATCATAAAAGTCCTAAATAAACATGACTACAAAAATCTACAATAAATCCAATTATAAAAATGTTCAACAATGATTTATCATTATACAATGAAGAGTCCATCTCTTAATATTAATGATTAATTATCATTAAATATTTATAGTATAACTTTCATTATATAAACTTTTGTAGTAGCATCTATTTAAGATGAAAACTTTCATGATATTTAAATAACCCTAATTTTCAAAATAATATCTTTTAACTAGCCACCATTTTGGGGTGGTGAAGCTTGTGCAAGTGTTACAAAGGGTGACAAAGTTGTGAGGGGCTCCATATCAAGACCAAGACATGCCGTCAACAAGTTCCAACATAGTTGAGGAAACAAATGATAGGACATTCGAGAACTTGATTTATGATGCAATTAGAACACAGTTTCAATAATATACAGAAGAGTCATCAAATAAATAGGCACAAAACGTCTATGATTTGTTATATGCTATGTAACAATCAATTTGAAATTAGTGCACTACTCACTCAGAATTATCTATCGCTGTAAAGATGTTGAGCATAAAGATAGAAATCAAATTCAACCAAATCTAGATTTTGAATCAAATGGCAACTAAAAAGACCCAAACCATTACATAAATCATGGCTTCATAAGATAATATCGTCACAAAAAACAGAACTACAATCAATACTAATACCTCACAGCAAGAGAAAATGATATCATCAAATCAAAAGACTTAAAAAAATTTGCTCACATACTCGAAATTCTAAGGTGGAAATCAAAGTCAAGTAAATATGCACCTGAATAAGGAGTTCAAAACTTGTACAGCAGGCTATATTATTGATCTCCAAGCACCAGCGCCTTCACTATTGTATCACTCATTCCATCAGCATGTGGGAAAAAATGACCTCCATCTGGGACCTCATGGTACTGAACCCATGGAAGCTTTTGGCTGATGTAGCGAGAAAGAGATACATTCACAGCTTGATCCTGGGCACCATGCCATAGGTGGACTGAGCCTTTACTATCTGGAAAGGGGTTCTTAAGATCCATAGGGTCAAATTCCCAACTGCAGTAAGCGACTATCAAGTCGCGGTGGAGAGAGTAGAACTCTCCTTGTTGCCTGACCTGTGCCTGATGTTTACCAAGTGTAGCATCAGTTCGTGGTGCTTTTTGATGGCCCACTAAGGCATTGTTTGGGAAGTCTTATTGCTTTTTAAAGCGGCTTTCTAGTATAAAATTTAAAAATTTTGTACTAAAAAGTTGCTTTAAGAAGTATTGAAAAAGCCGTCCCCAACGAAGTCTAAGGCTTCATTTGGGATGGCTTTCTTACTGCTTCTAAGGCTTCTTAAAGCAGCTTCCTTGGAAGCTGCTTCCTTGGAAGCTGCTTAATTTTTTTTTACTAGAAAGCTGCTTTAAAAAGCATCGCGGTGGAGAGAGTAGAACTCTCCTTGTTGCCTGACCTGTGCCTGATGTTTACCAAGTGGAGCATCAGTTCGTGGTGCTTTTTGATGGCCCACCAAGGTTTCGTTTGGGACAGCTTTCTTCTTTCTTCTTAAAGCAGCTTTCTAGTACAAAAATTTTAATTTTTGTACTAAAAAGCTGTTTTAAGAAGCAGTAAGAAAGCTGTCCCAAACGAAGCCTAAGACTTCGTTTAGTATGACTTTCATATTGCTCCTTAAAAAAGCTTCCTAATAAAAAAAATTAATTTTTGTACTTAAAAGCTGCTTTAAGAAGCAGTAAAAAAGCCGTCCCAAACGAAGCATGAAGATTCACTTTAATAGCAAAAATAATGAAGATAAAATGTTGGCCAAGTAAAAACTACATGATAATTACAAAAAATAAAAGTATCAAGCGTACAAATTATAATCTATAGTTTTAAGTATAATACAAGAGATGATGATAACTCTATTTATAGATAAAAGGACACTGAAACAGATTACAGCTATTTACATCTGTAACTTACCGATCCCAATGACTGGATGCAATTTTTCATAAAGCATCTATATAAAATGGCTACAAATTCTTGAAATAAGGTTAATGATGATGACAGAAAATTACTGTAAATCTAATCATCTTTTAAGGACACATCATTTAAGTTAATGGATGCAATTGAATTGTTTCCAGAAGTAACCATCTCTGCAACTATGATACACTCTTCTATGCTAAAATACTTCAAATCAAATTCACAAATGATACTTAAAATATTATAAATCAAAATCACAAATGATACTTTAAGGTAAAATGAATAAACGTAGATATGTTTAAGAAGAATTTCAGAAAGGAAAATGTATATCTTAAATCTTAATAGTTTGCTGGCAACTTCCCCCCCTCCAAAATATCAAAGCCATGCATATAGAACTAAAACTTGTGCAATTATCCCTTGTAAAATATAAAAAAAGTATAAGCAAACACAAAACAAGGTTTTTCCTTAAAAGTAAGATGAATCGATACCTGCTTTAGTTCTAAGTAAAACAAAAGTTAATTGGTTTAAAGGTTTTAGAGGAACTTATTACAATCATAAACAAGGACACATTTGGCGGGGATTTTGTGTCTTACAAGCAACTGTGATTAGACTTTGTTCATATATGACATAAATAACAGTTATTAATGCCTGTCACAACACTCGAATAAAGTACCAAAATTTTCAAGACCAGTTTGATAACTATATTCCGTATATTTCTCTTTTATTCTCTTTATAAATTAAAGTATGTCTCATTGCTGCCTTATGCCTAACCCGTGCTTAATTTTTCCCAAAGTAGAGAATAAACGATACTGTTTTTTATGGCCCTATGAAGGTTCACTTAACAATTGTAAATGGCAACGAAGTAAATATTCAAGATAGAACAAAGCTATTATGAAAATTATACAAGTTACCCCCGCTTATTTTTGGTAGAGTTAATGGGAAAATAATAATTCTATTTAGGGCTCATTTGGTTCATTGAACACAAAAAGATGATTTAGAAATTAATGATTATATTATCATGTTGACCTCACATACAATCCAAAAAATCGGTGCGAGCAAAGGCGACAAGAATGGCATTCAAATGATGCGATGTTGCATGTGTAATAAGTTCAAAATACCTCACAGCAACCACCTAACGTAATGTCACACGTAGCAGGTTTGAAATGCCTCGACCGCAACTCGAATAATTCAAATATCGTCTATTGGAGAAATAGGTCTAATGCATTCAGGATACTGAATTTACCAATGAAGAACTGCTCGCATGCAACTCGATCAAGCAATGGCGAATGTGATGCGGGGTACGCGACGTCATGCAAAATTGCCCAAACAATCTCTAACCATGAAACAGATTGCATTGTTGTGTCCAGGATATCAAATTTACTAAAAAGGAACTTGGGGTGTAAGTGACCCGAGCCAGCTCGAACTCAACTTGATAAAGAGCTCACGAGTCGATCTTATCAAATTTCGAGCTCGAGCTTGCATATTAAACGAGCTCAAGTTCAAGTTCGAGCTTAATAGGACTCAGCTTGTCGGCTCGCGATCTGACTCGATTATACTAATATTAAAAATAATAATTAAAAACTATATTATTTAAAAAATCAGCTATTTTTTGAAATACAGCTAAAAAGCCTCAAAGTACTAATTGCATTTAATGCATTAAAAGCAAACTGCAGCTTTAGTTCGGCTTTTAAAAAATATATTATTAGTTTTTTTTTTTAACCCACTCCTCTCTTCTCCCAAAAAAAGCTTCTTCAACATCTCCTCGAATAGGCTACTGCACGAGTTCGACTTAACTCTGACGACCATAGTACTCACTTCCTCATTTTCTCCGGGAAGGAAAGCACACGGGTTGGATGTCCTAATCTCCTTCTATGGCGAACCTCATGAATGGAGCTCAAGCACGCTATAACTCCAACGACCAGGCTTCCAGACTTCTTTCTCTGGTAAAACAAGCTCACGATTCGAGCTTACCATATGAGCTTAACACGAGCTCGAGCTCGAGTTTGAGCTTGTCTCTCAATTGACGAGCCGAGCTCAAGTTAGCCCAAACTCGAGCTCGGCTAGACTTGTTTACACCACTAAGAGAAACCTTTTGCAAATGATTCCAGCGACCGCGACCAAAAACAATGAATTACAAACATAATGTTATGCGAAGCTGCTCAAATGTCATCCGATTGCAAAACGGACTACGTCGTTCTATCCAGAACATCAAATTTATCCAAGAAGAATTGCTCTTATGAAATTTGGCATATCATGATAAAGAAATGGATTACATGTGCAATATTACACAAAATTGCTCGAACAAACTCCATTCTCAAAACAGGCTTTCTCATTGCGTCTCCAACAGGAAAAATACCTAGAAATGACACCCACATTTCATGGGCTATTACATGATGAAAAAACACAAATTCACTCACACACGAGATGATAGCATGTAAACCGAGATGCACACGAAAAATGAAAAATCATACAAGAATCATACAAGGGTCAATTCACATTTCTTTTTCATATTATTTTTAATTAAATTTTAATATATATCCTATCAACATCCTGATCAAATAGGCTGCTATTCAGTGACGAATCATATCACACATACCTTCACCCGACTGACTGCACACAAAAATAATAAATAAAAAAATTTAATAAGCCTTCATTTTCTCTCTTCACGCACAAGAACAAACACCAAACCCTCCCCTATTGAAAACACATGGCATGCTTCTCTGTCGCGACTCTTTTCTCTCTCAAAAATTGAATATATATATATATATATATATATAGTAAGAAAAGAATAAAAACAAGAGAAAAATGTTTGTGTTTCTCCTTCGCCTCATAATTTGTCACCACTGCCTCACATGTGCCTAAGTATAACACTCACAAAACTCAAAATCCCGTTAGAGATGGGGCGTGTCCCGATGTGCATACCTTGCATGCGCTTTTTCGTAGCACGATGAGGAAACTCATGCGCGACGTTCGTGACATGATGGGTAAGCCCGATATGTGCTTTCCTTAGTGTGGTGGGGAAATTTTATGTGCCTATAAGCATTTTTATTAACGTGGCGAAAAATTTGCATGTCTTTAAATAAGTGCCTGAATATCTCATGTGTTTCTCATAAGAGTGTTGGGTAGAAGATCTCAACTACGGTGTCACACAACATTGACTATCCCGCTTTTGATATGTGTGGTGCATAGATCGTAGTACTCCCTATGATGCCCCCCTATGGGGGGATGCTGCCAAATTTTTCATTGAAAGTGTACTTAAATTAAAATGATAAAAAATATATATAACAAGCCTTTAATCCACTACGTAAGGTTGGCTATATGAATCTTTTTTCAAGATTGCGTCCTATTAAAAGTCAAAATCACATTTAAATCTAATAAAAATGTCATTTTTTATACTTTCTAACCAAGTCTTTTTAAATCTACCTCCACCTTTTTTAACATATGCCGGATTTAATACATCTCTACTAAAAGGGTCATCAGAAGGCATACAAATAAATTAAAAACATGCGAACATATTACACAAATACATCAAAATTCATACAAGTGTATCACATGAGCACATTAAAAAGCGTGCAAATTAAAAGCATGATTTTGTACTATGCATGTAAACTAAAAAGCCAACAAGTGCATCATACAAACACATCAAAGAGTGTGCACGTTATCTAAAAAGAAATTTTAATTACTCGCAAGTGCTTTGACAAACATGCTAATCATTCACACACAAAATTCTAAGCAAAAAGTGAATTAAATTAAAATTACCCCTTTTTAATTTAATCATTGGAATGTATTCCAACTGATGTATCGAACTCATAAACCAAAAGTCCGAAATTGCTACATAGATTAAGCATAAACTTAAATTTCAAGTCCAATCCTCCTCCTTAAAAAGACTAGAGTTGACATAACATGAATTTATAAATGAATATATAGCCGTGAAATCTGCAAAGATATTTGTCTTACATTCACATTCGGCCTTCAAAGCTTCTTTGAAAAACATTCATCATAAAAATGCAAGCTAGCTTTTGGCTTCAACATTTATATAATAGTTCACGAGATCAATAGTTGGCCCCATTCTTTTGTTAGTGGAAAAACATAGTTTACAAGTTTTAAATAACAAAATATGATCTTTTTAAAACCTCAATGATTGTTGTTTTGAAAGTGAATCTCAACC